AACAAAATAAACCAAACCAATCTAAACCAAAGAATACATATTCTCTTCATACGAATCCATCCTAAAAATGCTGTCGGCATTAAATAACCCATTGTGGTTGATATCCCGTTAAAAAAAAATAAACCAAACCAAACCAAGTGATTACCTATCTAGATACTGACAAGGCTCGACATTGCTTAACTTCTGTGATCGTATGAGAAGCGGTTGTAAAACGTTGTATATCCGTAAACCCAGTGTTGTAGAAAATGTCATGTTAAATATGATAGATTTATGTCTCCTGATATTATTTGTAAGGAAAAGCGATGTCGAACTGCTATGTTAGGTCTGAGATTATTAAACCCTCTATAATTAGAGGCTCAAGAGGCTCTTTGTATTTGGCGGGATCTAATATAAAAACAGTGAAGTATTTAATACCATAATTTCTAACAAAAACATGATAATCCAAAGACGGATATGCAGGCTGATAGGTCCTGACCTGGCATATCGACTAAAATCGTATTCTCACAGTCATGATGTGGCTTCCCTCTGTCTTTTTCTACTAATATTTTCATGGCAACTGCTCTGATGAGCTACTTGCACTGGTAGCCAATCTGCATGAATTTAAGCGTGCTACTAGGTTGGCATCTCGGTCCCACCAGTTTACTGTCGAAACAGTTAAATATAACCGTCTCTTCTACTTCAATAGCTTCTTCTCTCGCACTTCCCGACAGTGGAACTCCCTTCCCTGCTAGATATAATTTTCAAATATTCAAATGTAATGTCAATCGACATCTTCTGATGCCTTGATACTGACTCCCACCCTTCTCTTTATCCTTTCCTCAAACACCGATTCTTACTTTTTGTTCTCACTCTCCGTAATCCCTTGCGTGCTAGTGGCACTCCAGCCTTGCGTAGGGTGAAATGCTTAATATATATATATATATATATATATATATATGTATGTATATATATATATATATATCAAATGAAGATTAAATACTCCTTACGTGTATATAATTCAAAATAAAGGCGGCGTTTTGTTAAGAACTGCCATCTTTTGAAACAGACTCCTGCGGAGTTAGTCCCCTGGACACTACATTCTTTACCTCTTTAAGTGTCAGTCGTTATCTATTCTCCTTATCCTCCTAATGTCCACTGCCTCTTTCATTCATGTCATATGCGTCATTTATCGTTACTATTTTTATAGTAACGCCCTACATTGAGCGGCTCTCCAGCCTCGTGTTAGTTAATTATACTACTAAAAAAAGTAATGTCTCCATTATAATTTTATCACAACGCCTCGTCTCTAATTACTGTCCAATTTGCTAACGTGTTGCTTTTGAGTCAAGTAGCCACTGTATTTTCTGTTGAATGCAATTTGAAAGCACTTAAATTCGAAGACTTTCAAATTTAATTATCTTCAAAGGACACCTGGCGACAGAGAAGCGCAGGCAAGAATTATCGCAGTCGATGAACTTGCTTGCCAATCTCGAAGCCTTGTAATTGAGCAAGAAAAAATTTCACCGGATTGGTACAGTTTTTTATCTTTTCTTTTTCTTTTTCTTCAATAATTTCTAACATCTGTTAAAAGGTCAAATGATAGTTGACCTTTCACTAGTTGTATTTCCAGTTAATTTTTCCATTAATTCCCTCAAAGCGTTTTTATTTCCACTGATTGCTCGTTTTTATGCATCAATATATATATATATATATATATATATATATATATATATATATATATATATAAAAAAGAAAGAACAGTAAGATATATAATCCTGTGTTCTTATAGATATTTTTATTTTTACAAAATAGTGCTCAATGTAAATTTACAGAGCATTAATATTATAAATTAATTGATTTAAAATATGTTTTTTTTCGCTACACATTTCTAACCATGTTTCAAAAATGGAAGCTAAAAGCTCCGAATTTAATTTTGTAATTAAATTAAAGACATTAGTTCCATTTCATCCTCAAGCGAATTTTGGAGTAACTTAAAATTACTGGGTTTTAAAGACACAGCTAAAATCCTAATTCACGTTTCCAAGGATACAGAGAAATCCATTCATCCAGACAAGGGGTGTTTGCATGTTCATTATCTCTGTATTTTGATGTATCAGTTATTAGCTAAGTTTTGGTAGGGGTAGGGATAGGGATGTATTTTTCAATGAAATCTGACATGCATTTTAAATCAATTAATTTATAATATATATATATATATATATATATATATGGTGCGATGGATAAATTTTCGTATAAAATACGAAAAAGTGGAAATAACACTGACATCTCTTTTTAACGGATATATTTACCAAAATTACAACAAAAAACATCTTCAAATGCTAAAGTGTACATTTAATCAGTGGCTTCACCCACGGCCTCCAGACGACTTCGGGATCTCTTTTAACTCTTCTGGACTGACGGGAACTGCAACTATTGAGGGCAGTCTCCTTGAGTTTTGCTAGTCGCACGCGCATCATTTAAAACTATTACTTAAAACCTACATATTTTAAACTATTACAAACATTTTAAAACATTTGATCATGCTGCCAAAAACATATGCAATATATATATATATATATATATATATATATATATATATATATATATATATATATAATATATCATTAACTTTACTAATTTACTTTTTGTATGAATGATCCATTGTAATATATATTGAACTGCGCCATATATTTTATTTAAAAGAACTGATCAGGCGTGCAACTTTTCGGGATAACAACTGAGACATTACTCTATCTATTGAACAATTTAGTTCATGCCACATTGACTGATAAAATCCTACACCAAAAAAAAATTCTCAAATTGCCATATTAGTAACAGACGCCATCTCTTAAATTTTCAATAAATTCAACCTAAGCGTTGCGACTGTACGCTTCAAAAGATTGTATCTGTTAAGAATAACACATTTAAAAAAACACATATTTCGATTCGCATTTAATTTTTTCATCTCAGATGCTACCAGGATTTTACTAAGAACAAAATAATTTCCATGAATGTACAGTTGAAAGTATTTGCGTATTAAAAAAAATTACCTTCTGCATCTTACAATTACTAAAAACAAGGATCATAACATTCATCGAGTGTTTTGTAGGTTAAGGCAACTATAAAATTTTGTTAGCGAAGGGATTTCCCCATTTTATGTCATTAACTTCACTAATCTACTTTTTGTACGAATGATTCATTTTAATATATATATATATATATATATATATATATATATATATATATCAAGAAGAACAGACAGACAGATAGACACTAAAGTAGTAGTAGTAGTATTAAAGAATGATTGTGCCTACGGCAGGATTCGAACATGTATTCCTTTCTTTCATTATAGAACCTATTCTCTGAAGAAAAAAAGGGATAGACGTTCGATTCCTGTCGGAGTCACAATCTTTCTTCAGGAGGATTTCTCAATCTAAGCCGGTTGCTATTGATTTCCCAGTTTATGAAAACAAAACAAAAAAAAAAAACAAAAAAAAAACAAAAACAGTATAGCAACTGAAATATAACTAAATATCCGCTAAATATCAAGTTTATAATCATAAATATAAGTATCAGTAGATATGACTAAAATATAATTATGAATATATATATACACACACACATCTATCTATCTATCTATCTATCTCTCTCTCTCTCTCTCTCTCTCTCTCTCTATCTATCTATCTATCTATCTATCGGTACATATATGCATATGTATGCTTTTTGTGTGTGTTAATATTAGATATCGCACATTCAGTGCTGGTGGTAATAAAATAGTGCTCATTTACAGTATTCGGACTATTTTGCTAATCTCTGTGACTATATTCATAACGTCTCGTCTCTTGTCCGCCCCGGCCATCTTCAGGTGACTGGAATTTCGCATGGAACCCTTTATTTCATTCATCGGGGCAGATTGTTCTACTACCCCATGTCATGCATCTTCCGGATATCTCAATATCAGTTATCTTCCATTAACTCAACTCTCCTAGTTTTTATTAGCTTCTGCTGTAGCCAGGTATTAAATTTACAACTCTTTGGTTGAAGTCACTGGATTCAACTAACACCTTTATCCGCTGGGCCATGTGTTGTCGTGTATATGGCAACAAAGATGAGGACAACAGTCCGAACAACGTAAATAGTGTAAATAATTACAATACCTCATCTCAGAAATATAGACAGATACGGAAGAAGACCGGAGCGTACAAAGGTCGGAACGTCGTGAATATGGCAATAAAGATGAAGACAACAGCTCGAACAATGTAAATAGTGTAAATAATTCCAATACCTCATTTCAGAAATATAGACAGATCCGGAAGAAGACCGGAGCGTACAACGGTCGGAACGTCGTGAATATGGCAATAAAGATGAAGACAACCGCTCGAACAATGTAAATAGTGTAAATAATTACAATATCTCATCTCAGAAACATAGACAGAAAATAGTGCTCGATGTGATTTAACAGAGTTATTAAATATATATTATTTTGTATATTATTTAGAACCAGTGAAGAATAATATGTATATTTATTAATTTATATATTTAAATAAATATAAACATATATTAGTAAAAACAAAATGAAATAATTAAGCAAGATGAGAAATCATTGAATTTAACGAGAAAAAAAAAGCGATTATTTTTAAAAATAATATTTCGGGTGATATTTTTGCAAAATTATATCAAGTCTCTTCTATATCATCATAACTTCTTGAATATAACTAATTATTTAAAAGTGGTAATTAACGATTAATTGACTTTAATGGCCGAAGATCCCCGTTATTAATTTTATTTTATTTTCCCGCCAGAATGCTAATCGAAAGAAAGAAACAAGGAATTTATTAAGAGAAATATTCCAATTATCTCAATTGCTTTTACTTCTTGCCCTTGTCGTTTGTCTTTCTTTTTCTTTCATTCTTTCATTCTTTCTTTTATTTTCTCCATATATTTTCGTTCTTTTAATAGTATGGCCTTATATTGATGGTGTGTATTGCCTGTTCATAATTGAACATTTCAAGCATTCTTCATTATATACGTACGTACGTACATGGATAGAGAACGGAAGAGAAAAGTGCAAGAAAGAAAGAAAAAGAAAGAAAGAAAAAGAGAAAGGGAGGGAAAGATAAAGACGGAGACAAAAAAAAGAGAGAGAAGGAAATAAATAAATAAAGAAAGAAAGAAAGAAAGAAAGACAGGAAGGAAGAAAGATAACGAAAGAAAGACAGAGAGCAAGATGGTAAGAAAGAAAGCAGGAGGGAGGGATAAATACAGAGACAGAGAAAGAGAGCGAGAGATAAAAAGCAAGAACAAGAGAGAGGAATAAAGAGATAGAAGAAAAAAGCGAGAGGGAGAGAATTAAAGAAAGAAAGAAAGAAAGAAAGAAAGAAAGAAAGAAAGAGAGTAAAAGAAAGAAAGAGAACGAAAGAAAGACAAGAGAACGAAAGACGTGGTAAGAAAAAGAAAGAAAGAGAGATAAAGAAAGAAAGAGAGAAATAGAAGGAAAATGGAGAAAGAAATAAAGTAGAGAGAAAGAAAGTCAGAGAAATAAAGACAAATAAAGAAAGAAAGAAAGAAAGAAAGAGGGAAAGAAGTAAAGAAAGAAACAAGGAATTAGAGTTCGAGAAAGAAAGAAAGAGAGAAGGAGAAAGAAAGAGAGATAAAGAAAAAAGAAAGAAAGAAAGAAAGAGAAAGAAATAGAGAGAGAGAGAAAAAGAAAGAAAAAGAAAGAGACAGAGAATCAAGGAAGGATAGCGAGAGAGAGAAAGAAAGAAAGAAAGAAATAGTGACAGAGAATCAAGGATAGATAGCGAGCGAGAGAAAGAAAGGAAGAGAGAGAAAGAAGAAAAAGAAGAAGAAGAAGAAGAAGAAGAAGAAGAAGAAGAAGATATAGTAATTAATACTGTATGTAAGGACGCCGAAGAGAAATAGAGGGAAAGAGAATTAAATAAATTTTGGAGGAAATAGCTCCCTCAGAAAGAGAGAAAGAGAAGTATAAAGAGAAAGAAGGAGGGGGAAAGAGAGAAAGGTAAATACAATTAAGGAAAGAATGATATTGGAGACAGTAACTGTCAACCCCTCAAGCAGATGACGGTAGATCACGTCAGGTGTGAAACTGATATGCGGTCCTTTCAAACAGTTTATCTCTATAATTGAAGACACTTCCGCCATATATATTTTACACGAAGCAAGGTGATAAAGCCACTAAGACGGTAGGAACTATTGAGAGTGAAAGAATCTGTGGAAAACTATTAGTAAGGAGAGATGACAATAAAAGAATAGAGGAAAGGTGTGAATCCTCTTCTTCACCCTCTATTTGGGTAAATAGCAGGACAGACTGGGTTCTATAGCCTTGGATGGCAACTGGTCTAGGAGAAGGACAACTCTGAATTCAAAACTTCCGGAGGGTCGTTTGGGGACCTTGTGGCACGTAGTGCACCAGGTCTCTGTATTCGGCCCTTCAAAAAGTGTGGCTGGTCCTGCACGAAACCTTCACCATTATAATCAAATCTCATGTGCTGTTGTCGGGCTGTCGGTTTCCTTGAACGGATCTGCTTGACCTCATACGTCGATTTCGACGTGGGGAGAGTCGAGTATATATATATATATATATATATATATATATATATATATATATATATATATATATATATATATATGTATGTATGTAAAATCAGATTTAATTTGAGCAGTGATGGAACACGTCTGCCAGTTTCATAAGCAATCATCAGGCAGTTGGTGACTGTATTGTGTGAGAATAGGGACCCTTATATTCCCAGGTAAGTACAAGATGATAAGAGTGTAACTGCTGCCTGTATTTCATGCACACACCTGCCATACTCATAACCGTAAATATCACAAGAGCTCACTTTTATGAGGAACAATAGAACAATGGTAAAGGTGCTTACTAATTCAAGCAACGCACTCAATATTAACGTGCTCTTAAAGTTCGCCATGGCAGATAATTATATTAATAGAAATAAAAATATGCCTGCTTCGGATTGCACACACACACACACACACACACACACACACACACACACACACACACACACACACACACACACACACACACACAAAAAAGAGTGTTCCATATAAAATAGCATAGCTTTAATAATATTCTAAGTCAGATTTCAAGTGGAAAGTTGTATAAGCTTTCACGCAATCATATATATATATATATATATATATATATATATATATATATATATATGTTGGATAATCGAATGACAAAAATAAATAACTGCTTCAGTTTGATGTGACTATTTGTTACTTTGTTACCTATATATATATATATATATATATATATATATATATATATATATATAAAAAATGTGGATATAAACCAAATAATTAGTAATAGTTCGTGCCTGATGAGGTGGTAAAACTACGAAACATTAATTATCACGTCAAACGTAGGTATATGTATATTTATTAATATATATATATATATATATATATATATATATATATATATATATGTGTGTGTGTGTGTGTGTGTGTGTGTGTGTAACACTGTGGTTGAATAAGACTGACGTTGTTTTCGTCGGTTGAAATAGATCTAGCCATTCCCATATGAGGTAAGATTTGATTTTGTTGTGTAATATTATTTTTATGCTCTGTTATAATGAATACATTGAGCTGTTTTTGTGGATCCGTTTTAATATTTTATATTACTAGGATCCAATTCGATAATATAGCAACGGATTTATTACCTGGACTATAAATTTCAAGTGGATAGATTTCAGCTAGAACTCAATGTCTATTCCAGTGTAAAAATATAATAAAAAGGCTCAAACACTAATATTCCATGGTTATAATTTATTACATTGGAATCCTAGTCACAATCAATATATATATATATATATATATATATATATATATATATATATATATTAATTAATAATTTTTTATTAGGCATATTAACTCATATGACACGGAAAACAAAAACGAGAACCAATCTAACCCTGGAATTTTTAACCTAAGACTTAGGTTAAAAAATTCTCGGAAGGTTAGCAAGTACAACGAAAGACATCGACAATGTTAAGCATGCTTACATACATAGAGTGCATATAAGCAAGTATTACCTATTATGATGAAAAGTTTTAAATCTGAACGAGAAACTAGTGTATGCTTTTATGGTTGTGTATGTGTGGTTTTATTTGGTTGTGTGCTTTTAATCATGTATATATGCCTCTGTGTACCTGTACGTATAATTAGGCACGCACCTATTTCATTTGATGTCTACAGTGTTTATTCTTGTAAAAGTAAGTGAATAATCGAGCGGCTTTCATTTGATCCTAATCGTTTTGTTCAAAGTCCGATTTACGCTTTTTTTTTCTTTTTACAGAAGTAGTTTTAAAATTTAGCGATGGAAAACGAGGAATTAAAAAATGAATGAAATCCATTTCTTTTCATTTTAACAAGTTTTTTTTTTAAACATTTCGTGGCGTTTATTTTTCATTAGAATTTAAACAGATTTTTAAGTTCCTCAAGCAAGGAATTGTTTAAGTCAAAAGCAAGAATTTTTTATTTCTATTGCACGGAAAAGTATTGTTTTGCGTAAAAAAAATAATTCTAAGCTTCATGTCGAATGAGTTGTGAAAATGCAGGATGTCTGAAGAAAAATGTCAAAGTTCTTAAAATATGTTAAACAAATCTCTGCATAGAACCAACATTGGAATTGACTGTGAATATTCTTGTCTTTCGAAACAGTTCTTAAGTCGAAACCATTCTTAATTGGAGCATTCTGGCATATTCCAAACTGGTTTATTTTCACAACAATTCTTCGAAGTAACTGGGGAAAACAAAAAGAAAAAATAATTATATATCATACAGACATCAGACAATACCTATATTAATATTTCATAGAGCAGTTTTCCCCAGCTAAAGAGCCCTTTGTTAATTTATGCCTGAATTTCTGGGATGAAGAGAACGTTATTTACATATGGATTATGTTCCTTATATTTATTGGTTATCTCTAAGTTTTGTCCGTCTGTGATTGTGCTTGTCGATCCGACCCTTTAATCTAAAAGGGGTGGATTGTTTTATTTCTGTTGTAACCAAGTAAATGGTTAAGAAACAGCAAAACAAGAGGTTGAAGATAAATCATATATTGAACAGTAAGTACAACAGAAGGGTCTTACACAACTTGGGAGTGGGTACCGGTTGACCAGCGTTCAGCTTATATCACTTGATATTTAGTAGCCCCCACCACGAGGGTACATGTGGCACAAAGCTGAGTTTAACGTGGGTCATCTAAACCCGTAGGCTGGGCCAAAAAAATCCCCGTAGAAGCCTCATAAACCGGTTCGGCTCTATCCAAGATGTTGTGACCAAGTAATGGTTAAGAAATAACATAACAAGAGGTTGAAGATAAATCGTGTATTGAACAGTAAATACAACAGAAGAGTCTTACACGACATGGGAGTGTATGTCAGTTGACCAGCGTTCAATCTATACTACCGTTCCCCCAAGGCTTACTTTCCTACTAATTTTATAGTAAGTGGAAGAGGTCACAATAGACTCATTAGAGGGAGGACACCAGAACAATTTCCCCTAAACTTGTCTAGGGATATTTTGTGTAGTTCTTATTTAGTATGGCACAGTTTTTTGCTTGCCTCGTTACAAAGATTCCAAGTTTGTAAGGATTGAACACACAACTGCTAATTTCCGAAGTCCACAAACCAACGCATTAATTCATTATTCTGTTGGTCTATCGAACAATTACCTGGATCTGCTAAAAAAAAGAAAATAATTTCCATGCTTGAGGATGGATGAATGTACAGCCGAAAGTACTAGCAAAATAAAAAAAAGAGCTTGTACAACTTGAAGTTATTAAAAACAAAGATCATAACATTCATCAAGTGGTTCGTAGGTTAATGTAACTTTAATAAATTTGTTTGCGAAGATGTTTATATATATATATATATATATATATATATATATATATATATATGATGTAGCAAATCAATTTGAAAACTCATGTCAGATCGAGACACGTATGGCACCAACAGCGTTCAAAATTGTCAGCTGTCTACAACTGCTTCCTAAGATCAATAGGGAAAAAAGGCTTTGATCGAATGAAGCTTGAGAGATTTGACAGAGATCACCCCTCTTTGAACCTTTTGAACTGGCGCTACAGATTCACAAAGAACAATACCAAATAGCAGAAACCACATTATTTGCGGACTATCAACAGCTGCAACAATTAAAACGGGCAGCACATGTAATTCGAAAACAGAATAATGACATAATCAAGATGTTAACAGGTCGTTCTCAACGGATTCTCCTCCAGTTCATATCCCACGAAAGCAGGTGTTCCTCAAGGCTCCATCCTAAGCCCCACTCGATTCCTTATCTACATAAATGACCTTCCTGACGCCATAAATTCCCAAGTTGGCATCTACGCGGATGACACCACGATTTATTCCTGCTTCAAAAACAAATCAAGCGTCACTGACAAAACTAACCTGGCCGTGCGTCTCGAAAAGGACCTCCAATCGGTTGTGAACTGGGACAGGATTTGGCTGGTCAACTTTAATGCTTCAAAAACAAAACTGCTCTCTATTAATCACCACACAGATGCTTCCCTGCCCTCCATTAGAATGTCTGACGCTCAACTTCTCGAGAGCAACTCTCTGCGGCTGCTCGGTCTCACGTTGATGGCTGACCTGAGATGGAACAAATACATTGAGTCAATTGCTTCGTCTACCGCAAGGAAAGTTGGCTCCCTGTGCCGCGCCAGGAAATTTTTCTCCCCGGAATCGATCCTCCAGATCTACAAATCAACAATTCGCCCTTGCATGCCATATATGGTCTTGGGGCCCCTTCTGTTTGCCTCGGGGTTCTTGATAGGCTCCAGAGGCGGATATGCAATATAATTGTCCCTGCTCTGGCATCTCGTCTACAGTCACTTTCTCCCAGACACGCCGTCGCCTCTCTCTGTCTGTTTTACAAATACTTTCATGGCAATTGCTCCGATGAGCCTCTACGAGGCTGGCATCCCGCTCTCACCCCTTCACTGTCGAAACTCCTAAATGTAGCCGTCTCTTCTACTCCAATAGCTTCATGTCTCGCACCTCTCGCCTGTGGAACTCTCTTCCATATTCCAGTTTCCCTGAGAGCTATAAACTCCAGCTATTCAAATGTAATGTCAATCGACATATCCATTTGCCTTGATCTATCCACTACCCTTCTCCTCATCCTTTCTTCTATCACTTCTATCTGATCTTCTGTAACTCCTTTCGTCCTAGTGGCTTCTCTCCTTGCTTGGGGGTGAAACGCTTAAAAATAAAATAAAATAAAAGGTTAAGAAGGAAAGCCGTCAGTACTGGAAAGAGCGATAATAGATACTGGGACTGTGAGTAATCTGTTTATCTGAAAAGCTTTTTTCCGGAGAAAAATATTATAGATATCAACCGAAATCAGTACTGGCTGCTCGGTCAATGAATGACAAATTTTGCTTTGTAAGGACACGGCTAATATTACCATTACCAATATGCAAGGACTGGACTTAGCATAGTCTAGGCGCAGTCGACAGGACGGTTGTTATACCTTTCGTCAATTTTACTACTACTTTCTATGTAAATCTCTCTATACGAGAAGTTTCCATAATCTTACAAATATTAGCATTCATTTTCATTCATCTCAGTTAATTTCATAAAACAAAGTTGAAATAATAATAATAAAAAAAAATAATCGATTGGATCTTTTTTTGTTCTCACAGTTGAATAATATCTAAACAAATCTTATCCAATTAACATTTGGAGGTTATCACACGCTTTCCACAGGAAATCCTGGCCCAACATAATCTTCTTAATCATATTCTTTAATCCTCACAACCTTTGGCTGAATTGCATATTGCAAATGTTAGCTAAACATTCGAAGGCTTTTGACGGGAATTTTAGGTTTTTATTTCTAAGAATACGATTTTTAAAATGCCTAAATATATATTTTCTTGAAATGCTTCTTTTATTTAATAAAATTCCATATTTAGAATTAGTTGCTGTATTCTGTCCAATTCTAAAACGCTCATATCCGGAATTTTTATTGAACGACACAAAAACAGTTTTTAATTTCAAAACCACTTTCCAAAAATATGAAAGCCAGATGAGGACAGGATTTATTTTCCATATGAAAACCTTCGATGAATGAGAAATCTTTAATTGTTGATGCACACGCATGTACATACAACATAGGCCATATATATATATATATATATATATATATATATATATATATATATATATATATATATATATATATATATTATTTAAACGTAATTTTTTATATATAGGCATTTTCGAGTATAAGCTCGATTTTTTTTTAATTAAACGGTATTTTGTATCCAACTACATCTACCGGTCTGAATATTCGATAAATCTTGTTACAAAAATGTCCCCTCCAGCAGGATTCCAACCAGCATACACTATGTAGTCCTGTCAAAGTACTTGACGTGCCTAAGCGCTTGGCCACGTAGGACTTACAGTCAGACAAATCCCGAATAGTACTTGAATTTCTAAGCTAATTGTATGAATAACAGAAGAATACCATGCGCCAAACAACACTAAATAAGTTTTTTCATAACAATCCAGATGAATAAACATTTATTCATAACTTTTTCATTTTATCTTCTTATATGTACCTATATTTTAATTAAAAAGTACACAAATTAGCAATTAATTGTGAGTGAGACTAAAATTTGAGGTACAAATTACATAATTTCTTATTAAGTTATTATATTCGATTAATGCGTTTTTGATTAGTGCATATTTTTAATGTACACAATAGCCACACTAATCAATGGATTCCTGCATAGTGGAATGTACTTATTTTTAGACTTTTCCTTCCACCCCGAGTATGTGGCGTCTGGATGTGTAGCAGCAAAAGGCGTTTTATAATTACCATTAAATCAAAGAAATTCGCGTGATTATTTTTCAGATTTAGCTTCAACGCGACTGGCATGAATAAAAATCCAAATTGATGCTTTATGAAAAGAACGTACGGTACTAAAATTGTAGTTAAAACAATATTCCAAATGTGAACTCCAAAAATCACCTAAATGAGATTAAAATACAACTAGAGTAGATTAAAAATCAAATTGACGAATCCTATTTTTTTTTTTGTAGTTTGAGAGACGAGAAAAGTCATAGGAGCGGAAAGGAGAAATTCAAATTAAAGGGTTGTAGATCAAATAGTCATTAAAATATGGAAATATAAAAGATGTATGCATTTACTATGGAAAGATTCTAAATAAAGTTTTCAGGTTAAAATACTAATGGTTATTATATGGTTGGAAAATTTGAAAGGGTAATTTCTCAGTACGGCCCATTATATGAAGAATAGAAGAATACCATGCGCCAAACCCCACCAAATAATTTTTTCCTAAAAATCCAGATTAATAAACATTAATTCATAACTTTTTAAAATTTATCCTCTTATATGTACCTATATTTTAATTAAAAAGTACACAAATTAGTAATTAATGCGAATGAGACTAAAATTTGAGGTACAAACTACATAATTTCTTATTAAGTCATTATATTCGATTAATGCGTTTTCGACTATTGTGTATCTTTTAATGAACACGTTAGCCATATTAATCGAGTGGTTACTGTATGTGTGTAGTAGGTATTTAAAAATAAATGATATTTGGACACCAATTTTTCATTTTTGCATTTTTGGGTGGCGATTAACAAGAGTTCTTTCTCTAAGACTTCTATTTGCCTTACTGTTCGGATCATATTCTGGATTCTGGCAAGTGTTTTACCACGAATTATCTAATCTCTTCAAATCGCTTTCGGCTTTCGTAATTCATTATGAAAGAATCTCTTGGGGGATGATAGATTTATGTCTTTCTGTATTGATTATGTTTCTTTGGCGTTTATTTCGATTCTCTCCTCTACACGCGTTTTAAGTACCATAATCATTATTCCCATGACCGACTATGGTCGAAGGATCATTACATAGTTAAGCACCAGACCAATTCACCCCTTATATATGGTTTGAATACGGGAGAAGTCTACCTTCATATGTAGCTTGTCTTGGGCAAGTACGACTGTCGGAGCCCGCCACTTTCCAGGTTACAGCATATCCGATGTCCTTCCACGGAGTTCCAGAACAGATATGGCAATAGTATATGCGGATTAATAGTATACAGGGTGTACATAAAGTTCGTGTGCACTTTAAAAAATTATAACTTTATTTGTATTTGCGAGAGAAATAATCTGTAAAAAATGTTTTAAAGTTTAATGTACCTAGTTTTAAGTATAGTTAAAATAACTAATGTGATTTCAGGCATTACTGTAAATCAGTTGGCAAATGTTTTCCGTGAACTGCAAAATCGTATTACCCTTTGTATTGCTAATGATGGAAGACATGTGGAAACTTAAATAAAATTTCAATAAAATCTTTAAAAAATATAGATTTAGTTATTTGTAGTCTTTTGTGCAAATTATTTCTATCGCAAATACAAATAAATTAAAAATGTTTTACAGTGGACATGAACTATATATATTTTATATATATATATATATATATATATATATATATATATATATATATATATATATATATATATATATAATTTAATTTGTAAAAGGATTAGAAAGAAGTAAATACATATATTTTTAAGGTTTTATTGAAATTTTATTTAAGTTTCCACATTTCCTCCATCATTAGCAATAAAGGGTAATACGATTTTGCAGTTCACGGAAAACAT